CTACGCCCAACTTTTGAACACTGAGGGGTATATATAATTTGAATATTAAACAGTTCAGGGCGGCGAAGCATTGTTTTGAAGATGAATGACTCAGTCATATGCCCAAAGGAAGAGAGATTCTGAAGTAGTTGTGCAACCTGTTCGTGTATACTCAATGGCTGAGTCAGACATGTTCCATAAAATTGGATGGCCTTACTTCATGTCGTATGTAAGCTGGGTATAAAGGGTTAAACTATTGAAAGATCATCAACTATTGCCTACTAAATTGACCTTGGGATGACGAGAGTACTTACCTTTGTGGTTTCGCCTTGCATGTGGCTGAGTGAGATGGTTACCTAGTCTAAGTTTCAGTTTGATAGGTAGTTGCTTTAGTCGCTCGCCACGTGCTAGAGCCATAGAAGTTAACTTCAATTCTTTCATTTTGTGAGCAAATTTTTTTTTACTTAGATCAATTTCTGCATTTTTCTGGGATCTTTGACTATACTTGACTATTGTATAAATTTTGGTAAGCTACTTTCTTTACGGAAAGCGTTGCCGAAATTTTTACGAATCCGATGAGTTAGTAAATTTTTTACTTTTCAAAGTTCAAATTGTCTAAAGTTTATATATGGCTTAGTAAAAATTTAAAAAGTCTCCTGTTCTAGGTGGAGTGCTGCTCAAATTTTTGCTAATTCAGGGAGTTAGACAAAATTGGACCGTGGAAAGTCAAAGACTATCTCTGTTTTCATATTCGGATTAATATAAATTCTGGAAAGGCACCTTTCCTACGGGAAGTGCTGCCGAAATTTCCTTAGTTCAAAGGAGTAGGGTTATATTTTGGCAGGTAACGATTTTTGCGATCCACCATGTATAGGGGAGACTTTGCCAAGGTCTACCTTTGCTTTGGGCACTGCTTAAGGGTAAAGAGCCCCGTCAAGGGTAGACTCCGCCGATGTCCTTGTCGAGGACACCCCGAGCTAGTCAGGTAAAATTTGAAGTGAGGTTGTGATTGGCCTCCAATGACTTATAAATTTAGTTCCGGATTGGCTTGTCATGTGTTACAGGTCCTCTTGACCGTTTGATTCAGGATTTGAAGTAGATTCAGCTTGATCTTACGAGGATCATCTTTTGTTATTACTCAGAACAGGTCGGTTGCCGATCCGCCGATCTACGACTCAATTCCAACTCACTCCCCATACTCAACCTAAAAGGCTTTAGCCCTGGTGATTTCGTTGTTTCATTAAGGTTTCACCCAGACTTTTATTGAATGGTCATTTAACAAAGGTACTGAGTATTTAATTATGGTTGGTTGGACATGAGATTGAGGTTTGCATGTCTAAAGCGAAGGGTATGAGTGTAGAGATTAGTTGGGGTTGACTCCATGTAGTGCGTGGACTGTTGTTTGACTCTTTGATGTGATTACAGGTATGTTCTGGGACTCATATTCTCGATTTGATTGCCCTGCGATCACATATATACATATGGTTGTGAAGGAGTCCCATTGTGATTTAGAGAAGTGATCGTCACATACTATTCCCCTTATATATATGTGTGTACCTATATTGGATGTTCGCGTACTAAAGGCGTAATTAGGGGCCAAGATTGAGAAAATAAGGAAGACTCCTCCTTTTGGTTGTCTGCTTCTTGACAATTTCTTAGTCGGACGTTGGTCCTGGGGCGGGATTCGAGGTCCTTGTCGAAGACACTCCGAGCCCCGGACTCTGCAGGGAAAGAACCTTCCCTCGCGCAGAGTCCATCTGCCCTACCCGGCTAAACGACATGTCCTTCAGCCGTTCAATATCGTGAAGGGTAGCCCTTCACGATATATTCCTTCAGCCATTCAATATCGCGGGGCCGGAACTGTATTTACCGCGTATGACTAGTATTGTTGGTTGGCATAGGACTGGCCTGCAACCGCGTGGCTTTATATCAAATTCCTGCGCGCGACGTTTTGCCGTCCTAGTGTCTAAAGGTTATGGAATTAAGGGACTCGCAAGTAGGCACGAACGTTTGAGATTATTATAGGCCGCTGGTGCCAACCGAAAAGGGGACCCAAGGTTATGATTTTCTAGGATATGCAGAACCTTCAACCAATTGGTGTTTTTTTTGAGTTATCATCGTTGAATGTCATAGTCTGTGGCAGCCGTCAAAGTCAAACCCCTTTACGTCTGTCCAGGCCTGGAGTGGGGCTCGTCTCAAGGGCAGTAAGAAACGACTGTCACCACAGGTACGAACCTGTGTATCGCCCACTCTGCACAGGGTGCAGAAGAGGGTGTGTGGTATTCAACCGCGCATAACGGTTGTCTAGCGCCGAGAGGTTAACCCCTCGAGGCGCGTGTCCGCCGACACTTGAGTGTCAAAGGTGACCCTCATTATCCAGGACCCCATGATTATGGGTGCTACATAGTACTCCATGCTTGCGACCGCTTGCGTACGTTTGCATTGCCATTCGATATGATGGGGGTCTACGGCCGCGCGATTTTTATATTGAGCCTCGCGCGTGCCGCTAACTTGATTTTCCGCAGCAAAAGGTTATGGGATGGACGTTGAAGGGACTAGGAGTGCTGTCGCGTTGTTTTTTACTGTGCGTGCGTGTTATTTATTTTTGCGTTCTGTAAGCTCCATGTACATTCGCGACGAAGGATTTAAACCAACTTCTACGTGACGCGGCCAAGAGGGTCCCGCGCCTTGTGTGGTGCCGGACCGATGCGCTCGACAGGTGGCACGTTTGCCGAGGATAACGGAAGCTTACCGATGTCCCTGGTGGAACGACATCCGGGTATGGGAATGAGGGAAAACTAGGCATATAAGAAGGATGGGGATAAGACCCTAGGTGGATTGTGTGGTGGCATGACTAGTTATGTATTAGGCTTGATTGATTATGATCGGTAGTTTGCCTGATGGTATGGTTGAAGCAAATATGTAGGGAAGTCATATGGTGTGAATGGGTCTTATTTAGGTGAGCCTAAGGGAAACAGGGAACGTAGTATCTCACAAGTTCAAAAGTGTCGGGAGGTTAAGTAGTTGGTCCGATAGGATTGTGATGAGTTGGACTGCTCAGTGAAGCCTTTCTTCCTATTGCTTCTTATAACAGGGAGATTGAACCAAAAGCGGTCAGCCAAAATGTCGAACGGTGTGGCAGACGGCGGGAGAAAGCTCCTAACGCTCGACGATCTTATCGAAGCCTTGGACCGGCGAGAACGAGCGCCCAGTAATGTGCCGAAGGTTGACACGTTCCACTTCAAGGGGGAGCGGGTTTCCGATTGGCTGGGTCTGGTTGAGCAGGCGCTGATAGGATTGTCAGATGAAGTGAAATTCCAGCGGATTATGAGATATGTCCTCCATGACCACCATCAAGACGTGAGCAAGGTTGTGGATGCCGCCAATGGCAGTTGGGGGAGGTTCTGGGAAGGAATGTGAAGGAAGTACAGGCTGGGTGATGGCCTATTAACTACGGCCGATTTGGAAGCCATGAACAAGGATCACTTTACCACGATCGGAGCCTTCGTGCATGAGTTCAAGAAGAAGGCAAGGAAGGTGCACAGATTTCAGAAGAGGCACAATGTGCCATCTTCTTGGGGTTGCTCACTGGCACGGAAGCTTCGGAATTGACGACTCACGGAGGGGGAAGTGAGAAGCTCACCTGGACCACTATCAATAAGGGAGTGGAGGAAGGGAGCTTGGACCAGGTAGAGCAACACCAGATGCGGCTGCAGAGGCGAAAAAGGAAGGAAAGAGACGCCCCTGCATCTGGGACCCCTTGGGTAAAAAGGATCGTCACGGATGTGTTGGTGGCGTTGGGTTATGGTAATGAGGCTGAGGTGCAGAAAAGGGCGGTGACCGTGGCCCAAGGTCGGGTATCAGGGGCAGCGGATGAGGAGACCGGACACGAGGATTACGGTGGGGAGGAGACGGGGTCGCAAACCCTTACTAAGGCCCAGCGGAAGCAGTAAAATTTGTTGTTGGGAGGTCAAGGGTCTGGGAAGGGACAGATCCCGCAAGCAATTGCTGCGCCACCGGCTGCCGCCACGACTGAACCTGTGTCGGCAGGGCCATCGCAAATAGGGTCGCCACCAGTCTGTGCGCATTGGGTACCGTATTGTTAGGTAACGCCCAGACCCAGTTGTAACCACTGCACCTCGTGTGGAGGGAGCCAAGCCCACACTGGACATATGGTCTTATATTTGGGCTCATCGACGAGCGCAGGACCCCCGAGTTTCCCAGTGACCCAAGGTCAGTTCATGCCCCAACCGGCCCCCTCGCAGCAAGCATCGCAGGCTAGCATGGTTGGAGGAGGGAACCAAGGGCAAGGTGGATAGGGCAATGGAGGCCGAGGTCAGGGAGGTCGAAGAGGCGGTGGCCGAGGCCAAGGAAGGAACGGCGGAGGTCGTGGCAGTGGGTGGAACGGCCAAGGGGGCCAGGACCGAAGTGGCCAGGGTGGTCAAGAAGGGGGCCAAGGGTACGGAAAGCCCCGCTTCGATTGGAGAAGTGCTATCTGCCGCCATTGTGGCTATCAAGGCCACACTATACAGTTTTGTCAAGGGCGGCGGGACGATGAGGTCTCTGGGTTAATCTCCACCAATATCAAGCCCACACTGGACATATGGTCTCATATTTGGGCTCATCGACGAGCGCAGGACCCCCGAGTTTCCCAGTGACCCAAGGTCAGTTCATGCCCCAACCGGCCCCCTCGCAGCAAGCATCGCAGGCTAGCATGGTTGGAGGAGGGAACCAAGGGCAAGGTGGATAGGGCAATGGAGGCCGAGGTCAGGGAGGTCGAAGAGGCGGTGGCCGAGGCCAAGGAAGGAACGGCGGAGGTCGTGGCAGTGGGTGGAACGGCCAAGGGGGCCAGGACCGAAGTGGCCAGGGTGGTCAAGAAGGGGGCCAAGGGTACGGAAAGCCCCGCTTCGATTGGAGAAGTGCTATCTGCCGCCATTGTGGCTATCAAGGCCACACTATACAGTTTTGTCAAGGGCGGCGGGACGATGAGGTCTCTGGGTTAATCTCCACCAATATGAATGGGGATATATACGATAAATACAGGAAGTAGATTGACCCAAAGACTCAAGGTGGAGTCAGGGAGGAGGCCCAGAGGCGGGCGATGGCAAGGCCAGCACCCCGAGCCATGTTCAGGATGTGGCAGGAGAGAGAGGACCCGACCATAAGAGTCGAGGAGATTGTGGGAGAAAGTGAAGAAATAACTCAGCGGCTTAAGGCAGGGACTATAAAGGACGAGCTGATAGTCGTTGAGTCAGATGATGAAGGGCAGGAAGGCGAAAGAGAGTCGGCCATAACCATCTTGGAAAAGATGGAGGACTTGTTGGGGAAAGTGGAGAGGCACCAACAAAAGTTAAAGAGTTTATGTGATGAGACTCGGGAGTGGGAGGCTAACCTCCCCGGGGTCTTCCTTTATGACTCCGGGCCCGAACCGCCGTTGGGGCAACAGGGATACCCGAGGGTTGCGACGGTGGGAGACGACCCTAGGTCGGGCATGACCTACAGACCCCCCACCTCACATGGAAGAGTGCCACAGACGGCACGAACCAGGAGCCAAAACAAGGCTGAAACCATTCAAGAGCCCGGCCAGGCGCCCAGTCAGGCACCACCTCGAAAGGAGCCTGAGCTAGGACGCAGGAAGGAGGTGGTCGAGGTTCCAGAAGAAGATGAGGAGGATGAAGACGAAGAGGATGAGAGGCTCCGACAAGAGGAAGACCGGCGGGCGGAGCTAAGGGCCAAGAAGAGAGGAACTCAGGAGGAAGCCGAGCCAAGCCTGCCTGACAGCGTACCTAAGAAGAAGAAGTATGCAGTTTGGCTGGAAGAGGGTTTCGATGTGGAGCGAATGGTAGATAGGCTCCTGGAAGGCCATAATGACCTGATGAATTTAAAGGACATCTTAGCATCAGCACCAAGGCTCCGTGACGGACTGAAGGGGCGGCTCTCGCAAACTCTAGTGCCCAATGTCCACCTGAGTACGATCCTGCCGAGGGAGGTAGAATGGACTGAAGCAGGGAGGAGGATGGACTGGAAGTGTGTGGCGTGTGGCCAGGTGGATTTTGTGGTAAAGGATCAGAAGTGTATCGGGATGGTGGACACGGGCGCGTAGATGAACATCATTAGGGAAAGAGAGGCACTGATGTTAGGAATGGAGATCGACCGTTCGGACCATGGTATGCTGCATGGCGCCAACTGCAAGACGACCTTTTGCGGCACGGTGTCAAATGTGATCATACAGATTGAGAAGGTACGGGCGAGGATCTGCTTCTTCGTCATGCCAGATGTCGACCACTCCATCCTCCTGGGAAGATCGTTTCTGTGCCGCACAGAGACCTTGATTTTTAATAAGCACGATGGAACGATGATCCTACTCCTGTGCGATCCGGCCTGTGGGAACTATGAGATTATCACTTGCCGGAATACGGGACCAGGGAGTGGGAGGAACAGACCCAACCTCGGCTCGTTCACCTTTGAGGAATCATAGAACGAGCGGAGGAGGCTCTGGGAGGTGCCGAGGAGGAAGGAAGGGCCGAGGTGCTGATGCTAAGCCTTACTGCTGTAAATAAGGCTATGGAAGTGGTGGCAGCGCACAACATGGCAGATCCGGAAGCCATTAGAGCGTTGAGGGAGTAGGTTTTTGAGAGCCCTCAGGTGGGAGAGGTGGAGCTAGTTTATCGGCTTCTAGGCAGAAGGGGCGGCCCGACAATGACACAGGCGCGAACGGCAAACCGGCCTTTTTTTGGGGACGGCTTCAGTAGGCTCCTAAAGGCGGTACAAAACGGTAGATAAAAAGTGTCGCCCAGTTCCCGTGCTCGTTATTGAGGATGAGGAGGCCTATTATGAGCGGGAACGAGGATTGATACGGCGCATGCGGGAGCAGGCAGCCAGTGGTCCGTATCGTATCAACGAGGAGAATGAAGAGAAGCTGATAATCAGAGAGTCCGACTTCATTTCGCCCCAAGAGAGCTCTTTGATGGTGGGATTGATGAAAACAGGTACCGCGCATATGCATTCAATGACGATCAGCGTGGAAGGCTGGATGTGGACAAGATCCCAATGATTCGGATCCACACGGTCCCACAGGAGCCATGGAACCTGAGAGGCGCACGATATCCTAACCCAGACGAGGAGAAGATGGTGGTGGACTACCTGGATGGCAAGATGCGCACAAATGTTGCCGACTATTCCAGCGGGCCATACTCTTACCCCTGGTTTTGCTTCATTAAGCCAAACAGGACGTTGCGGTGGGTGCAGGATTTACAACGGCTAAATGTCGTGACAGTGCGGGATGCGGGAGGATTGCCAAACGTGAACGCATTGTCAGAGTCATGTGCAGGAAGGCCTATAATTTTGCTTATAGACCTCTACTCTGGGTATGACCAGTTTCCTGTATACCCGCCAGACAGGCCTGTGACGGCGATGCATACGCCCAGAGGGCTAATTCATATGAATCTAGCCCTCAAGGCTGGACGAATGCATTGGCAATGGTGCAAAGGCATATGATTAGAGCCATGCAGACGGTCAGTCCACACATCACCCAACCCTATATTGATGACTTGGCGGTCAAAGGTCCGAAAGAAAAGGAAGAAGATGAAGTGATGCCCGGGGTAAGGCGGTTTGTCTGGAAGCATGTCCAGGACCTTGATCAGGTCCTAAGCTTGCTGGAAGAATATGACCTCACAGCAAGCGGCCCGAAGTCTAAGCATTGTATGAGGGAGGCGACAATTTTGAGTTTTGTCTGTAATGAGAGTGGCCGGAGGCCTGATGTGAAGAAGATGGATAAAATCGTGGAATGACTAGTACCCTTCCGTTCGATAACGGACGTAAGGAGTTTCCTCGGCACTTGCGGATTTTGGAGAAGCTTTGTGAAGAACTTTGCCGCCAATACTAAGCACTTGAGGAAGCTGGTGCGTGAAGACCAAGAATGGGTTTGGGGTGGAGACCAGGAAGAGGCTGTGAAGCGAATGAAGGAAAAGTTTAAAGAAGGAGGTCTGGTGTTGGGGGCGCCAAACTACGAAGTCACTGAGGAGAAGTCATTCATCATCGAGACGGACGCGGGATCTACTGCCTTGGGAGGAGTTCTGGTTCAGCCGGATGCTGAAGGGAAGGAGAGACCGCTGAGATTTGAGAGTCGAACTCTTAATACAACCGAGAGGAACTACTCTTAGTTTAAAAAGGAGACGCTTGCGGCACTCCACTGCCTGAGGATATTCCGGAACTACGTTTTTGGCAGAAGGTTCATATTAAGAATGGACCCCACTGCGCTCGCCTGTTCCCTGAAAAACTATACTCCATATGACCCAATCGTCGCAAGATGGCTAACATACATTTGGATGTTTAACTTCGAGCTGGAGAGGATTCCAGGGGACAAGAATAGGGCAGATGGGTTGAGCCGCATCAACTGGGATGGATCGGATCAGGAGTCGATAGAAGACACTCCACCGGTTGATGGGTTCTTGGACCAAGAAGAAGACGTCCGCCTCCATATAAATGAGTGGTCTTTACGAGTGCCTAGTTGCGTCGGTCACCCCATATGGCTAGCGCCTAAGGGGTACGAGCAAAAGGAGGAGCTGGTCCTCAAGTCTTTCCAGGAGGAGGATCCGTGGGGGAGCAAGGATGTCCACTGGATGATGAAATTGGCATTGGCAGACACTCACAGTTTGGTGGAGGAAGTGAGGACGATAGAGGAAGGTCCGACTTAGGTAGAGGAGCATGAGCAGTTAATGGGCGGAATATACTTGCTCACCAATACGCTTCTGCAAGGAGACTTTGACCAAAAGGGCTCATTCAGTCCTATGAAGGGTAAGGACTTCGTTCATGAAAGCCGGGATGATGAGTTCGAGGAGGGGGAGATCAAGGAAGTTTTTCATGCACAAGAATACGATGGAATCTACCTAGAGTTGGGGCTACTCCTGTCCTGTGAGATGAGGGATAGGGACACGAGTGCCAAGGCGCGGAAGGTAAGGCACCTCTACGTAGTAAGAGATGGTCATTTGTCCATAAAGCGACAAGTCGGGAATCCCAAAAGGATTGTATGTGGGAGGAACCGACAAATCGATATTATAGCATCCCTACACGATGGTATAGCAGAAGGGCACAAAGGGATATTGTCACGTGTGCAAAGATAAGCAAATTGTAACATTGGGATGGGATGCTGACTATGGTCATCAAGTACTACCAGTCTTGTGTACCTTGTCAAGAGAGTTCCTTGCAAAGACCAGGGGAGCCTCTACACCCGAGGTTGGAAAAAGAAGTGGGTGCGGTTGTACATTTGGATTTGTTTTTCATGCCAGTTGGGGAGAATGAATGTAACTACATTTTCGACGCGCGAGATAACCTTACTGGGTTTGTAGACGGTCGGGCTATCCGTATGAAGACCGACCCAGTTTTGGCAAGTTGGATCGAAGAGTATTACTTATGTTATCGAGTTGTAAAAGAGTTTGTGATGGATCAAGGGTCGGAATTCACCTGCAATGAGGTGCGGACCTTGCTCGCAGGGTATGGTGTAGTGGCAAATTATACTACCGCTGCAAATCCCTAAGCAAACGCACCTGTGCAGGGGGGCACAGTACCATCACGAACCTCTTCGCCAAGTGGACAGAAGGCAAGCCTGGTGAGTGGTCGAAGTTCCTACGAGCAGTTTTCTTCGTGGAGAATGTCACGTTAAAAAGAATTACCAAGTACGCGTCAGCCACATTGTGGTATGGGAGGCATGTCACCTTTCCCATAGAAAGTTTCATGAAAACCTGGAGGCGCCAAGACTTGGAAGTTAATCTGTCCTTCGAGGAGCTGCTCGATATCCGGGCGCGGCAAGTGGGAGCTGCCGAGGAAAGGTTGCGAGAAGCCGCCGGTCAGGTAGAGAGGAGCCACATGGAAGATAAAATGCAATGGGACCAGATGGCGCGAGTAAGGAAAGAACCATTGACAGTTAAGGATGTCGTATTGCTGTACGACTCCTCTTTGTAGAAGCAGTGGTAAAAAAAGCTCGACAAGAGGTGGATGGGGCCGTATAAGATTTTGCGGTGCGGCGAGTTCGAAGCCTACCAGATCGAGGAGCTGGACGGGACAGGGTGGCAGGACAGGGTGTTAGGGACCAGGCTGAAAAAGTTTGTGGGTAGGGAATAGGTAAAGGACCCTATACCCCTTAGAATAAACCTTTGTTTAAAGTGTCGCATGATCTGGGTGGGTTAGGTGAAAGAGTAGGAAGGATAGGTATGTGTATGCTCACCCTATATTAATGGACCTGATTGTTGACCTCGTTGTGTGCTTGCCTGTTTTCCCTCGCCTGATGAGCAGGTCTGACTTCTTGAAGACAGCCATGCAGAGGGGCGGGAGGGAGGAGCGGCCACGACAGAGACCCTGGGAGCGTCTGGAGCGGATGACCAGCGCATACCTTTGGGAGGGAGTCTACGCCTGTCTTTGATGACAGTAACATAGAGATGTTCTTGGACACCTATCAGGCCCATGCGACACGGGAGGGGTGGACTACCCTGGAGAGGATACGAAATCTGAGGGGGGTTGGGCGTTTTGAGGACCCTATCGCGCATATTCGGGAGGAGGCTTTGACCTGGGCGCATGTGGAAATGAGGATGCAGAGGTTGAGGGCGTCACCAGTGGACGGGACGGGTTACCTATCCGACTAAAGGAAGACAATGCATAGGAGTTCATTCCGGCCTATGAGCAGCATGAGAGACCAGGGGACTGCGCAGGAGGAATGGATGCAGGCATTGCTCCTTTGGACGCGGAAGGCGGAAAGGCCATTGGTGAGACAGATTCGGGATAGAGCGCGTGATTGGGAAGACTGTCAGACTTAGTTGAGGAGGGAGTTCCAACGACCAGAGCCTGAGAGGCCAGAGCCCCGGGTTAAGACAAGGCAAAGAAGTAAGAGGCCGCGGGACCCAGAGGCGAGAGGGGCCGTTGCGACTAGGGGGGGCGAAAGGCTTTGGCACGACGGGAGGAGGAACCAACGGAGCCAATTCAGGTAGCCGGGGTACCCCCTGACGTGTTTCATGCCAAAATTGCCTGAAAATGCACTTTTGGGTTGCTGTTCTATGTGTTTTTAATTTTTTTTGTTTGGTTTATTTTTTTAAATATGTAATAAGAAGTGCACTCTATACATTGGTGTGAATTTTGCTTGAAATGACCTTATGGTTTTATTATAAATTGACCTGAAAAATGGGGGGTCGGTTAACCTTCTCTCGTCGGTTAACCTTATCTCCCTGCTCACAAATGGTTAACGGGGACCTCCATTTTCAGCTCCTGACTAATGGGATGCTGGCATCTCAGTATCCAAATGCTCAGTCGCGTGCTCGGCTGGCTGCGAGGCGACAGTCATACTCGCCCCCTCCCTCTCGCTCTCCTCTTGTTCCTCTGACTCTACCCTCTTCGGAGGTGACGTAATAGTTTCCAGAGGGGGTACTCTGGTTCTCGCGAAATTTGGTATTATTTGGATTATAAGAATTTGTGTTGTTGGGAGGCCTGAAAATCCTGAAATTTGGATGACGTGTTTCATGCCAAATTGCCTGAAAATGCATTTTTGGGTTGCTGTTTTATGCATTTTTTTTTTTTTTTTTTTGGTTTATTTTTTAAATCTGTTAGTAAGAAGTGCACTATATACATTGGTGTGGATTTTGCTTGAAATGACCTTATGGTTTTCTTATAAATTGACCTGAAAAATGGGGGGTCGGTCCTCCGGAAACAATTACGTCTCCTCCGAAGAGCGCAGAGGCAGAGGAACAAGAGGAGAGCGAGAGGGCGGGGGTGCGTATGACTCGCCTCGCAGCCAGCCGACCATGCGGCTGAGAATTTGGATACTGAGATGCCAGCATGCGACAAGCCATGCTGTCTGCCAAATTTGGTATTATTTGGGTTATTAGAATTTGTGCTGTTGGGAGGCATGGAAATCCTGAAATTTGGATGACGTGTTTCATGTCAAAATTGCCTGAAAATGCACTTTTGGGTTGCTGTTTTATATGTTTTTTTTTTTTGTTTTTTTTTTGAACTGAAAAAATGGGGGGTGGGTTAACCTTCTTTCTCCCAACAGCACAAATTCTAATAACCCAAATAATACCAAATTTGGCAGACAACAACCTTAAACCAAAACAAAAACAGGCAAAAATAACAAAAAAAACAAAAAACAAAAAATTTGACCCCCAAACCCTAATTTCAGTTTTGGTGGCAGCTGGCGGTGGCTCGTCCGATGCTGGCATCTCAATATCCAAATGCTCAGCCGCATGCTCGGCTAGCTGCAAGCCGACAGTCATACTCGCCCCCGCCCTCTCGCTCTCCTCTTGTTCCTCTGACTGTATCCTCTTCGGAGGTGACGTAAAAGTTTCCGGAGAGAAGTTTAACCGACCCCCCATCGGAGGTGACGTAATAGTTTTCGAAAGGGGGTGCTCTGGTTCAAACCAAATTTGGTATTATTTGGGTTATAAGAATTTGTGCTGTGGGGAGGCCTCAAAATCCAGAAATTAGGATGACGTGTTTCATGCCAAAATTGTCTGAAAATTCATTTTTGGGTTGCTGTTTTATGTGTTTTTTTTTTTTTTTTTTTTTTTTTTTTTT